AACATCAGAGTTTTGATAAATCAGCCAAAGTTTTCTGTGAATTTGATTTGATTTGAATTCTTAACAAAGCCTGGACTGAATTGAGCTGAATTCGAAACTGAAAGAAATCATATTTTTGTGCATAATGTTCTTTCTTTGCATTTGTTCCAAATCTGGTGCATCTGAGGTCGAGCAGAAAACACCTGCGAGTTATTTTTACTGCTGTGGTTGAACTCAAGAAAACCCCCAGAGCTCAGACACTCTCACTTACTCTTCTAGACGATAGAGGAGGTGTGGGAGGGCATCTGGCGTTTATCCAGTCCATTCCTTTTGGTAGAATGTTACACACTGTGGCTTTAACGTGTTACGCATTAAAAACAGTTTCTAAATCGCACCAGGCGCCGGATCGGTGACACTTTCCCCTCGGGGATTCCAGGGAAGTGACTGGAAAATGTCTCCAGGTTTAGTCACGACGGTTTCCTGTTTCACAAAACGAAAGTCAAACTAAACAAAAAAAAAGAAAATTAAATAAAGAAATAAACAAAATAAGACAGTTTATCGTCTTTATTTGTGTAGAAATTGGCTCAAATGACATACAAATAAGCAAATATGAACTTTTTAGCATCACAATTCTCTCTCAAACCGGAGCTTTTTTGGACACTTTTGCAGCGACATCGACGAGCTCCGGGGGGAAGTGACGCTAACTGGAGGCACCGCTCCGTCTGAGGCTTTGTTACACTTGAACCTGAGCTTTATTTGAACCAGAAAGAACCGACTGAGCCGAAACTACAACAGCTGAAACGATCTGCGCTGTTGAACAAGTCCCTCTTACATAAAATTCACTCGAACTGATCATACGGTCTTGAAAACGTGCTCTTTAAAGGCGTATTGCGTAACTTTTCTGGTGGAGGTTGCGGTATCTGCTCGTTTCCGTGGAGATCTCATTGCTTTGTTTAAAATGTTTGACTGTATTTCTCAAAAACACCCTAAAAAACCCGTCAGTTTTCAGCGTGAGCAGCGTCGCCTTTCAACAGATCTGACCTGTAACTTGGGAAAACGTTGTCGCCTGCTCGTTTCCATGGAGATAGAAAAAAGCTTTAATGCTATTTTATTATTGTGACCAGAATTTCAAGATAAAAAAACTGGGACACGCTGGGTTTGGGTTGGTTGGTAATAATTAGAGTGGAAAGAAATCTGTGTGTCGTTCGTTCATTTGTTTTTCAAAATAAAAAACAAAAATTAGGAAAATAAAATGAAAAAACAACTATTTTTTTCATTATTTGTCTCCAAAACTAAAATGAAAAAGCAGATAAAGATTTGTTTTTTTCAGTTTTTTCATTATGTGTTTAAATGAAAAATGGATAACGGACTGAACCAGGACTAAATCGTTTTCAGTCCCAGTCTGGTCCCAGTCTGGTCCCAGTCTGGTCCCGATCTCTATTATGGTCTGGTCTCGATTTCAGTCCTGGTCTCAGTTCTGGTCTGGTCCTAGTCTCAGTCTTGGTCTGGTCCCAATCTCAGTCCCAGTCTCCATCTCGGTCTGGTTCTGGTCTCAGTCCCGGTCTAATCCCGGTCTCAGTTCTGGTCTGGTCCTGGTCTCAGTCTTGGTCTGGTCCCAATCTCAGTCCCGGTCTCCATCTCGGTCTGGTTCTGGTCTCAGTCCCGGTCTAATCCTGGTCTCAGTCCCGGTCTAATCCCGGTCTCAGTTCTGGTCTGGTCCTGGTCTCAGTCTTGGTCTGGTCCCAATCTCAGTCCCAGTCTCCATCTCGGTCTGGTTCTGGTCTCAGTCCCGGTCTAATCCCGGTCTCAGTTCTGGTCTGGTCCTGGTCTCAGTCTTGGTCTGGTCCCAATCTCAGTCCCAGTCTCCATCTCGGTCTGGTTCTGGTCTCAGTCCCGGTCTAATCCCGGTCTCAGTTCTGGTCTGGTCCTGGTCTCAGTCTTGGTCTGGTCCCAATCTCAGTCCCGGTCTCCATCTAGGTCTGGTTCTGGTCTCAGTCCCGGTCTAATCCTGGTCTCAGTCCCGGTCTAATCCCGGTCTCAGTTCTGGTCTGGTCCTGGTCTCAGTCTTGGTCTGGTCCCAATCACAGTCCCAGTCTCCATCTCGGTCTGGTTCTGGTCTCAGTCCTGGTCTAATCCTGGTCTCAGTCCTGGTCTGGTCCTGGTCTCAGTCCCGGTCTAATCCTGGTCTCAGTCCTGGTCTGGTCCCGGTCTCAGTTCTGGTCTGGTCCTGGTCTCAGTCTTGGTCTGGTCCCAGTCTCAGTCCCAGTCTCCATCTCGGTCTGGTTCTGGTCTCAGTCCCGGTCTAATCCCGGTCTCAGTTCTGGTCTGGTCCTGGTCTCAGTCCAGGTCTCAGTCCCGCTCTTAATCACGATCTGGTCCTGGACCTGGTTCAGTCCAATATCCTTTTTTTTTTTTCCATTTTTCATTTAAACACAAAATCGAAAACTGAAAAAACAAATCATTATCTGTTTTTGTTTGTTTTTTTCATTTTGGTTTTGGAGACAAATAATGAAGAAAATAGTTGTTTTTTCATTTTCTTATTTTTGATTTTATTTTGAAAAACAAATGAACAAATGATACACGGATTTAACGATATCCAAATCTCACGTTACGATATTTATTGCGATATTTTGTGCAGGTTAATATTCTACTTTTTCCTCTTAAAACACCTTGACAAGACTTAATCCAAAGAACTAAGACTTAAAAGTGTCAGAACTGTTATTTCTTCTTGTCGTCTGCACTGAAATGGAGCAAAGGATCATGGTCTATGTAGTTCCCTGTCTTTTTTTTAGCTGTTGCTGCACCATAACTCTTCATTTAAGTAAAGAAACTTGTAATTCGATATATTGTGATGGTCCACGATATCATTATGAGAACTTGAACGACATTTCACTTCCTGTTACGTCCTTAGTAATAATAACATTGTGAAATGAGTTTGTGATGAAGGAGAATTGTTGGACTCGGCTCATTCATGACAAACATGAGTCAGTACAGAAACATTTCTTTGTGTATTGGTCATTTTTAAGCAGATTTTCTGTATTTTACTGGAACAAATGACTTTACAGGATCAGATCAGTCAAAAATAAAAAACACCCGGGACTTTTCTTCAACTACAAATCAACGGTTTTGTATAAATCTGTTGGGACACTCAAAAGTGGGACTGTCCCTCTATATATTATGGAAAATTCTAGACCAGTAGTCCTGGTTTAGTCCTGGTTTAGTCCTGGTTTAGTCCTGGTTTGGTCCTGGTTTAGACCTGGTTTAGTCCTGGTTCAGTCCTGGTTCAGTCCTGGTTTAGTCCTGGTTTAGTCCTGGTTTGGTCCTGGTTTAGTCCTGGTTTAGTCCTGGTTTAGTCCTGGTTTAGTCCTGGTTTAGACCTGGTTTAGTCCTGGTTCAGTCCTGGTCTAGTCCTGGTTTAGACCTGGTTTAGTCCTGGTTCAGTCCTGGTTTAGTCCTGGTCTGGTCCTGGTTTGGTCCTGGTTTAGACCTGGTATTAGATCTGGTTTAGTCCTGGTTTTAGTCCTGCTTTAGTCCTGGTTTACACCTGGTTTAGTACTGGTTTAGTCCTGGTTTAGTCCTGGTTTAGACCTGGTTTTAGATCTGGTTTAGTCCTGGTTTTAGTCCTGCTTTAGTCCTGGTTCAGTCCTGGTTTAGTCCTGGTTCGGTCCTGGTTTGGTCCTGGTTTAGACCTGGTTTAGTCCTGGTTCAGTCCTGGTTTAGTCCTGGTTTGGTCCTGGTTTAGACCTGGTTTAGACCTGGTTTAGTCCTGGTTCAGTCCTGGTTTAGACCTGGTTTAGTCCTGGTTCAGTCCTGGTTCGGTCCTGGTTTGGTCCTGGTTTAGACCTGGTTTAGACCTGGTTTAGTCCTGGTTCAGTCCTGGTTCAGTCCTGGTTTAGACCTGGTTTAGTCCTGGTTCAGTCCTGGTTTGGTCCTGGTTTAGACCTGGTTTAGTCCTGGTTTAGTCCTGGTTTAGTCCTGGTTTAGTCCTGGTTTAGTCCTGGTTTAGTCCTGGTTTAGACCTGGTTTAGTCCTGGTTTAGTCCTGGTTCAGTCCTGGTTTAGTCCTGGTTTAGTCCTGGTTTAGACCTGGTTTAGTCCTGGTTTAGTCCTGGTTTAGTCCTGGTCTGGTCCTGGTTTGGTCCTGGTTTAGACCTGGTTTAGACCTGGTTTAGTCCTGGTTTAGTCCTGGTTTAGACCTGGTTTAGTCCTGGTTTAGTCCTGGTTTAGACCTGGTTTAGTCCTGGTTTAGTCTGGGTTTAGACCTGGTTCAGTCCTGGTTTAGATCTGGTTCAGTCCTGGTTTAGTCCTGGTTTTAGTCCTGGTTTAGTCCTGGTTTAGTGCTGGTTTAGTCCTGGTTCAGTCCTGGTTTAGTCCTGGTTCAGTCCTGCTTTAGTCCTGGTTTAGTCCTGGTTTAGTGCTGGTTTAGTCCTGGTTTAGTCCTGGTTTAGTCCTGCTTTAGACCTGGTTTAGTCCTGCTTTAGTCCTGCTTTAGTCCTGGTTTAGTCCTGGTTTAGTCCTGGTTTAGTCCTGGTTCAGTCCTGCTTTAGTCCTGGTTTAGTCCTGGTTTAGTCCTGGTTTAGTCCTGGTTTAGTCCTGGTTTAGTCCTGGTTTAGTCCTGGTTTAGTCCTGGTTTAGTCCTGGTTTAGTCCTGCGTTTAGTCCTGGTTTAGTCTGACATTGCAGTTTCCGTTTTTTCATTTTGGTTTTGGAGACAAATCATGAAGAAAACAGTTGATTTTTCGTTTTGTTATTTTTGCTTTTATTTTGAAAAACAAATGAACGAATGATTGACACATGGATTAATATCAGTATCTTGTCTCTTAATCCGTTTGCACGTTGTCCTGAGCTTCTGTTTTGTTCGCGTGTTTTAGGTCCTTAAGACTTTTTCGTTTCAGTTCCTCTCGATTTGCTCGATGTCCAGTTCTCCCCCGAGCTCGTACCAGCCGCGCCGCCCCGCCCACAGAGCCTCCCCGTCCTTCTGATTGGTCGAGAGGTCCGTCGCGCCGCCGAGGTCCTCGACGCTCGGACGAAACGGCGATTCTTTGGTCGTGAGTTGGGGTTTGTCGGCGTGAGGTTCGGTAAAGTCTGTGCTGTTGTCGAGGCGCGAGGCGTTTCTGAGGCGGGAGGAAAACCCAGGGCCACTCAGACTGTGGAAACTACGAAGCTTCTGGAAAAAAAACAACAAACAAAGACCAGTTTTAGGATTAAGAAGAGTAGATGTACACAGTGTTGGGGAGTAACAGATTACATGTACCGGAGTAATCAGAGTACAAATGATGAGTAACTGTATTCAGTTACAGTTACTGTTTCAGTGAGTGGTAATTGGATTACAGTTACTTTAATGAAATAAATGGATTACACAGAGGGATTTTTCTGTTTACACATTTTGGGCTAAACCAGGACTAAACCAGGACTAAAACCAGGACTAAACAAGGACTAAACAAGGACTAAACCAGGACTAAACCAGGTCTAAAACCAGGACTAAACAAGGACTAAACCAGGACTGAACAAGGACTAAACCAGGACTAAACCTGATCTAAAACCAGGACTGAACAAGGACTAAACCAGGACTAAACCAGGACTAAACAAGGACTAAACCAGGACTAAACCAGGTCTAAAACCAGGACTAAACCAGGTCTAAAACCAGGACTAAACAAGGACTAAACCAGGACTAAACCAGATCTAAACCAGGACTAAACCAGGACTAAACAAGGACTAAACCATGACTAAACCAGATCTAAAACCAGAATTAAACAAGGACTAAACCAGGTCTAAACCAGGACTAAACCAGGACTAAACAAGGACTAAACCAGGACTAAACCAGGACTAAACCAGGTCTAAAACCAGGACTAAACCAGGACTAAACCAGGACTAAACAAGGACTAAACCAGGACTAAACAAGGACTAAACCAGGACTAAACCAGATCTAAAACCAGGACTAAACCAGGACTAAACAAGGACTAAACCAGATCTAAAACCAGGACTAAACAAGGACTAAACCAGATCTAAAACCAGGACTAAACCAGGACTAAACCAGGACTAAACCAGGTCTAAACCAGGTCTAAACCAGGTCTAAAACCAGGACTAAACCAGGACTAAACCAGGTCTAAACCAGGTCTAAACCAGGACTAAACCAGGTCTAAACCAGGTCTAAACCAGGACTAAACCAGGACTAAACCAGGACTAAACCAGGACTAAACAATATGACACTAACAGTAGGTGGACATCATTTAAAGCAGCAGTGATTTCATATAAAAATCATTTCTCTATCAATAATATTTTTTAAATGCTTAAGTAAAGACGGGACTTTTTATTTTCTTTTAACAGACAAAACAAACTTCTCATGTTCAGATCCTCGTCTTTGTTTCTCTACAGTAAAACAAAAGTCTGTTCATGGAGACTTGGACTCAACAGACAATTTGAAGAAAACAAACATGAATTTTCAGGATGTGGTTGGTTCATTCATGTCGTTTTCAAAAGCACAACAATATCAAGTAATCCAAAGTATTCAGATTACATTACTCACTTTAAGTAATTTAATGGATTATGTTACAAACTACATTTTGGTGTGTGTAATCTGTAATCTGTAGGGGATTACATTTTAAAAGTCACCTTCCAAACACTGGATGTACATGATGAAGTGATCAAAGACTTAAGACAAACATAATGAAATTCTTCTTTCTTTGCAACGTTCACTCCCCATTTTTTGGTGATTAGTAATAATGAAATTGTGAAATGAGTTTTGCAATTTGAAATTGTTATGCAGAAACCATTCACAAATCGTGTTTCATTCGTTCACTCGTTTTTCAAAATAAAAATAAAAATAAGTAAATGAAAAAAACAACGATTTTCTTCATTATTTGTGTCCAAAACCAAAATGAAAAAAAAAAAAAAAAAAAACAGATAAAGATTCGTTTTTTCAGTTTTCAATTTTGTGTTTAAATGAAAAATGGAAAAAAAAAACAGATAACGGACTGAACCAGGTCCAGGACCAGACCAGAACCAGACCGGGACTGAGGCCAGGATCAGACCAGGACTGAAAACGGTTTAATCCTGGTTTAGTCCTGGTTTAGTCCTGGTTTAGTCCTGGTTCAGTCCTGGTTTAGTCCTGGTTCAGTCCTGGTTCAGTCCTGGTTCAGTCCTGGTTCAGTCCTGGTTCAGTCCTGGTTTCAGTCCTGGTTTAGTCCTGGTTCAGTCCTGGTTCAGTGGTTCAGTCCTGGTTTTAGTCCTGGTTCAGTCCTGGTTCAGTCCTGGTTTAGTCCTGGTTCAGTCCTGGTTTAGTCCTGGTTTAGTCCTGGTTTCAGTCCTGGTTCAGTCCTGGTTTAGTCCTGGTTCAGTCCTGGTTCAGTCCTGGTTCAGTCCTGGTTTAGTCCTGGTTCAGTCCTGGTTCAGTCCTGGTTTAGTCCTGGTTCAGTCCTGTTTTAGTCCTGTTTTAGTCCTGGTTTTAGTCCTGGTTTAGTCCTGTTTAGTCCTGGTTTAGTCCTGGTTCAGTCCTGGTTCAGTCCTGGTTTAGTCCTGGTTCAGTCCTGGTTCAGTCCTGGTTCAGTCCTGGTTTAGTCCTGGTTTAGTCCTGGTTTAGTCCTGGTTCAGTCCTGGTTTAGTCTGGTTTAGTCCTGGTTCAGTCCTGGTTTAGTCCTGGTTCAGTCCTGGTTTAGTCCTGGTTTAGTTCCTGGTTCAGTCCTGGTTTAGTCCTGGTTCAGTCCTGGTTTAGTCCTGGTTCAGTCCTGGTTTAGTCCTGGTTTAGTCCTGGTTCAGTCCTGGTTTAGACCTGGTTCAGTCCTGGTTCAGTCCTGGTTTAGACCTGGTTCAGTGGCAGTTTAGGTCATGTATCAATTTTTTCCATTTTTCATTTAAACACAAAATTAAAAACTGAAAAAACAAATCATTATCTGTTTTTTCATTTTGGTTTTGGAGACAAATAATGAAGAAAATCGTTGTTTAGTTGGTAGTGTGAGTCCATGTGCACAGTGGATAAAGCAGCACATATGTGTCTGTGTCCAGTGGGAAAAAGTTTTTCCAGGTGAGAGTCGCTCAATGTGGATGACGAGGCCCCGCCCCCCTCCCCCCGTACACTGTCCTGGTTTTGACAAACACAAATCTGGTCACACTGACCTGTATTCACCTGAGTCATGTCTTTTAATCCAACACAAGTTGAACCACATCAGCGACACAAGAGCTGGAGTTTTATCTTCTCTTAGTTTATGTAAATTAGTGATGTGGTTTTAAGTTTTGTTTCTGTGAGATTTGAACAAATCTGAATTAAACACATTATAATGTCAAACGGGCTGATGCGGCTCTCACCTGGTAAAGCTTTTTCCCACTGGACACAGAAACATATGTGCTGCTTTATCCGCTGTGCACATGGACTCACACTTGTCCCAACGCAACGGAAAGTCTGGAATTTCTTGTACAAATCATTGTTAAATCCACATTTGTGCTTCGGTTCGTTACAGACTGACCCACTGTTTGTGTCTCGCTCCTTCTGATGCAGAGACACATGTACACACCTGTTTGGTCACGACACACACAGCAACATACATTCAGGTTTGTCGATTAAAATCAACGTAATCGATGAAATTCTTAATGATCAATTATCGATTAATCATGCCCATCCCTATTTTTAACACAATAAAAATCAGATATAGCAGAAGTCTTATCTATATTATGAAGTTATTTTGTCTTTAAAGGTTGTATAGAGGATTTTTTTAAGGAAAGAGAAATCCAGCGACGGTCCTTGACGCCGCCTTCCTCCTCCACAGCCTCTAGAAATAACTTAGAGACCGACACCTCAGTTTTTAGACCCTTCGTCCGCTTCAGTCGCGCAGTCACTGAAAGGAATCTCCAAGAATCACCTCAGTTCGTCTTCGCTCCTTTTCTCCTTCTCTTCGTCTTTCAGCGACCTCAAAAACCGACTTTCTTTTGCGGCGAACTGGTCGTCGATTCTCGTCCGACACCGCGACAAACTTTGTGCGAAGCGCGAGAGAGCCACAATTGGAAAAAGCCTCTAAGAACCGCTGCATAATTACCTTAGAAACGTAGGGAGTTTGATTGACGACCTGACAGCCAATAGAAAATGAGGCAGCCTCGTTTTCTATTGGCTGATGTTTATCTGGCCTCAACACGTCCACAGTTGATAGATTTTCTTTCTTTTTTTTTTTTGGTCATCATAGTTACAAAGATGCTGCGTCTCTGTAATGGTGTTTTAAACTTTCACTGACAATTTGAAACAAACAAAAAATCCTCCATACAACCTTTAATTCTCATTTTGTGGAGTTCAAATGAGTGAAACCGTTGTGTTAAGATCTGTTTATGCCAAAGTCCAGACGTGATCCAACTCTCGGTGTTAAAACAAAGCCCCCCTCTCAGACTCACTGAACCCCCTCGGGCCGACCCACGCGTCCAGACCCGGCTAACGTGGCTAACGCTAACGCAACAGCTGTGCCGCCGTGCATCCTGGGAACTCTCCTCAGCTGCTCGTGGCTGAAGCCAAACTCAAAGACGCCTCTGTCGCCGAGTGTTACGTCATTTTTACACTCGAGAACCGACCGCAAACTGAAGAGAAGTGATGAAACTGTTCTTATTAAAGCGGCACTGTGGAACTTTTCTATGCTTGTTTCTAAGGATACGTCATTGCTCTGCCTGGAATGTTCCAGAGTGTGACTTTAAAGAGCTCAACTATAAGTCGTTTTACAGCTCAAAAATACCTAGAAAAACAGACATTCTGACTGTGAGCGGGGGTCGCCTCTCCGCAGATCTGACCTGTAACTCGGCCTAGTGGGTCACCTGCTCGTCTCTATGAAGACAGACGAGTTTAATGTCGTACTGCGGAACATTCCAGGCAAAACAATAACATCTAAACGGAGATTTAGATGTTAATTTTGTCTTAAAAACATGAAAAACATAAACGATTCACAGTCGTCAACAACTACTAGCTTCTGAAACCAGGACTAAATCAGGACTAAAACCAGGTCTAAAACCAGAACTAAACCAGGACTAAAACTAGGACTAAAACCAGGACTAAAACCAGAACTAAATCAGGACTAAAAACAGGTCTAAAACCAGGACTAAACCAGGTTTAAACCAGGACTAAACTAGGACTAAAACCAGGACTAAACCAGGACTAAAACCAGAACTAAAACCAGGACTAAACTAGGACTAAAACCAGGACTAAAACCAGAACTAAATCAGGACTAAAAACAGGTCTAAAACCAGAACTAAACCAGGACTAAAACCAGAACTAAAACCAGGACTAAACTAGGACTAAAACCAGGACTAAAACCAGAACTAAATCAGGACTAAAAACAGGTCTAAAACCAGGACTAAACCAGGTTTAAACCAGGACTAAACTAGGACTAAAACCAGGACTAAAACCAGAACTAAACCAGGATTAAAAACAGGTCTAAAACCAGGTTTAAACCAGGACTAAACCAGGACTAAACCAAGACAAAAAAAACAGGACTACATCAGAACTAAACCAGGACAATATCACGTAATCCAAAGTATTCAAATTACGTTACTCACTTTAAGTAATTTAATGGATTCTGTTACAAACTACATTTTGGGGTATGTAATCTGTAATCTGTAGGGGATTACATTTTTAAAGTCACCTTCCCAACACTGGACACAGAAGAGTTTGCGTCGCTCTGTTTTACCTCCTGAGTTGTTCAAAAGTGACACTGAGGAAAACTGACACACAAAACTAGAGCCTCTCGCGGTCTAGCATTTTTCGGGGATTATTTTTCCTGTTTATATATTGAGATTGAGCTCCAGTTGTTAAAAACATGATAAATTCCACATTTTAGACATAAAGAAAATAATCTAGTCCTTTTACATAAAGTCCAGTGTGACAAAAACTCATCTGATTATTAGGCCATAAATACTTGTGTCAGTCTGAACTGATCTTTATTTATCACAGAAATTATTGGACTTTTGCAGACTTTTTTAACCCAGACGCCAGAGTCCAAGTCCTAGTCCAAGATTAGACCTGGTTTAAACCTGGTTCAGCCTTAGTTCAGTCCTGGTTCAGTCCTGGTTTAGTCTTGGTTTAGTCCTGGTTTAGATCTGGTTCAGTTCTAGTTTAGTCCTGGTTTAGTCCTCGGTTCAGTCCTCGGTTTAGTTCTGGTTTAGTCCTGGTTCAGTTCTGGTTCAGTCCTGGTTTAGTTTTGGTTTAGTCCTCAGTTCAGTCCTGGTTCAGTCCTGGTTCAGTCCTCGGTTCAGTCCTCGGTTTAGTCCAAAACTAGAGCCTCTTGCGGTCGTCAGTCTGATAATGTTAATATACAAGTCGCACCGGAGTATAAGTCGCAGGAAACACCCAAACCATGAAAAAAAGTGCGATTTATAATCCCAAAAACACAGTAGTTTGGAAAATACATTCATCTTTTTGTCGTCTTTGTTTTCTGAGTTCTGTGCAGCACTTTGGAAACTGCTTTGTTTGTAAAACGTGCTGTAGAAATAAAGTGGATTTGATTCTATTTTTCACGTTTGAGACAGTAAAAGTCAAGTTCGGAGCTTTTAAAATAACTCAAACTAAACGGTATATTTTTAAACTCACCTGCGTCATCTTTGCGAGGTCGAGCGAGGGCCTCTGCGCTTCGTCCTGCCTCCTCCTCTTCACCCCGACCTTCGTCACGTTCAGCTCGCAGGGGTGGGACGGGCTCCAGGGCAGCGCCGGGTCTGATCCGTCCCCGGCGCGTCTCTCCGTCCCCGGGCTGGAGAGCGGGGAGCCGGGGGGCGAGGGCGAGGCCGAGGGCGAGGGCGAGGGCGAACGCTCGTCCTGGGGCAGGGGAGCGCCCAGGGTCCCCGGGAAGGCGAGGCCGACGCTGGAGCTGCGATGGATGGACGGGAAGATTAAACCGGAGGAAGTGGAAGTTCTTTGGACGCTTCCTCCGCTGTGACACCTTCTCTTCTTCTCCACCGAGGTCCAGAGACGAGAGCCCTGGGAGGAAAAAGGTTAAGATGAATCAATTTACCATTTAAGAAGCTGTGTGTATGATTTTTATTTAACTCTTTCCCCCCTGGACGCCGACTAGGAACAACCCACACATATATTACTAGGGCTACCCATAGAGCACAGGTGTCAAACATGCGGCCCGGGGGCCAGATCCGGCCCTCCAAGACCTTTAATCTGGCCCTCAGCTGATTTTCTACTAAAATATTTTAATTCTATTCTTTATTAAAATCTTGTTAATTTTCTGTGGTGTTTATCACAGCAGCGTCTCCAGCGTCTCTGTACGTGGCCCCTCCCACCAGAGCAGCACAAATGAAGACTTGTCTCTTTCCAAACGCTCTTAAAGGACGATCGTTTTGACTGTTGACCGTGACACCCTCATCAGAAAAATGTCCAACATGAGAAAAGTGGAGCCGAGTGCAGGATTTTACAACAAAAATGTACTTATTGCTTTTCTATACTTGTTGCATCAGAATTTAAGTCACGTAAACGGGAAACGGTCGTTATCCATTTTTTCCACTTTTCATTTAAACACAAAATTGAAAACTGAAAAAACGAATCATTATCTGTTTTTTCATTTTGATTTTCAAGACAAATAATGAAGAAAATAGTTTTCGTTTTCTTATTTTTGGTTTTATATTGAAAAACCAATATTTTCTGGATCTGGAGACACAGGTTCAGTTGTGATTTGAACACTTTTTTAAAACTGTGCAGGCCACACACAGTTCCTTTTAAAATTATAATAAATTCCCGATATTTTCGCTTTGGCTTAAATATTCCACAGTTGGTATCAGACCCTCCACCAGAAAAGTTCCATAATGCAGCTTTAATGTAGCGACCCTTTACCTGTGGACGCCAGTTTGTCCGGCCCAGATCGTCGAAGCAGGAGAGAGAGCGGCACTGGCGTTTGCTGGGGGGCGCCGTGGAGCAGTGTTCTGTCCCGGACCAGAGGCCAGGGGGCGCCGTGGAGCAGTGTTCTGTCCCGGACCAGAGGCCAGGGGGCGCCGTGGAGCAGTGTTCTGTCCCAGACCAGAGGCCAGGGGGGCGCCGTGGAGAGGCTCAGGTCCTGCAGCAGGGAGGACAGTGAGGTGCAGTGACCCGGGCCGGCCTCCAGGGGGCGGCTCCACAGACGGTCCAGGCTGGAGCCAAAGTCCGGTTTAGGCTGGACCGAGGAGCAGGGCAGAGCGGCGTCCGGCCAACGACACTCTGAGGCAAAAAGAAACAACGAGAAATTTGTAAAAAAAAAGATAAAAAATAATCATAACTACATTTATTTGCGACTTCAAGACAACCAAAAATGCTTCACAGTCGATTATTTATTCTCTGTAAACCTGGTGGTGGTGCCACAGCTGCCCTGGGTCAGACTGACTCAGCTCTTTCTCACTCATGAGGCTATAAGATTAAAATTACAATGTGAATGGAAGCAATGAGTAAATGGCAATTTTCTGCGCTGTGGAGAGGCTCAGGTCCTGCCTCAAGTGGAGCAGTTCAAGTATCTCGGGGCCTTGTTCACGGTCGGTGCAGCGTCGGCAGTGATGCAGTCGCTGTATCGGACCGTTGTGGTGAAGAGGAGTTAAGCCCAAAGGCGAAGCTCTCGATTTACCGTCAGTCTCCGTTCCTCCCGTCACCTCTGGTCATGAGCTCTGGGTAATGACTGAAAGGACGAGATCACGGATACAAGCGACACAAATGAGTTTCCTTCGCAGGGCGTCTGGGTGTGAGGAGATTCCTCCACATGGAGAGCAGCAGCTGAGGCTCGGGCGTCTGTTCTGATGCCTCCTGGACGCCTCTCGGGAGGTGTTCCAGTGTGAGATAGTATTTTGACCCCCATAGTACATTGACCCCGGGGTGAACATACGGCTATAGTCAAGTGACCCCCCTATAGGCGAGTTTCATTGTTGACAAAAGCGCGCGTTGCATGCTGGGAATTATTTTGGTCGGCGGCAAGAAACACTAATTCAACATGATGGACGGAGCGAGAAAGCACGTAAAGGGTATTGATCCCGGTTATTTATCCACTCTAACGGCAGAGGACCCAAGACCATTTGACCAGAAATTGGTCATAAGCATCGACGGACGACAAATCACCCTTTTCAACCCCGACAAAAGGTGAAACCAAACCAAATTTCTGGTCAGAATCGCCAACTACCTGGACAAATATTCACTTGGGCGATATCCACAATGACTTGGTGGAAACTCCTGGGCCATTCACAGCAGAAAAGATGAAAACCTCCAAGAGTCTGGATGTGTTGTTGAACTTGTTGGAGTCCACGGTTTGTTAGGATCTTCTACGTTTGCTCTGCGGATGTTTGAAAGTCGTTTAATTCACCGTTAGCGGTTCTTTTTCACTCAGAATACGAAAAAGACATTTTCCTTCTTCTGTGCTTCTATTTGTGCATCCGATAATGCAGCAGGAATTTACCATTATCGGGGAGAAATACGCGAGGTTACGCACTGTGTTTGACGCATCAGTTTTTTGACAAAATATTTCCCAGCAGCAACACGGGCTTTTAATAACAATGACGTCAGCTGAAACTCACCTATAGGATTTTGACTCCCCTTACTTTTTTTTTAGTAGTTACTTATCTGATCATTATTTCTCATGTCATTTACTTTTATTATATATTGCTACGTATTCACTTTCTTTTAAGGTATTTTAAGGAATGTTTTGATGGAGAACTACTTGTAACGTATTGTTAAAATTGTATATACATAACAATCTTGTCACTTTTTATATTGTATCTTACATTGTTATGGTTTTTAGTTTGCTATGTTCAGATAATTCTTCACCATAATGTCAGTTTAGGCAATGGTTTGTAAAGATAACGACCTCGAATTTAGTCATGTTGTGTTATTAAAACTTCTCATATCCCCTATTTAACTTCTCTATTGATCAGCTCTGTCTATTTTAACAAGATTCCAAATCATTATACATCACTTTGTTTACCGAACTAATTAATAACGACTTATCTCATGTTCAGTAAAAGATGTGTTTAAACAACTAAGGCTACGTTCAGACTGCAGGGTTTAACGCTCAATTCCGATTTTTTTGTGAAATCCGATGTTTTTTCGAGGTCGTTCACATTTCCAGTTAAATGTGACTTGTATGTGACTCCAGTGTGAACGTTAAAAAGCCCGAAAGTGTCCCACAGATTGAGAAGGAGAAGGACGAGGTTTTTGGTCGTGGTGTTTTGTGGTGAGTGGAGATGTGCTTCGCTTCAGTGACATGGAGTTCATTAACAATTTTCTCTTACTTCAGTGCAGAATAGTGACGTTTGTGTCTTGTTGATAACGTGTAGGTGGATGAATGCACTTTGGCCGTTCAGACTGAAGTCACATGTCAAAAGATCAGATATGTATCAGTTTCAGGAGCACATATCCAAGTGTCCTGGGTCATATTTGAAAAAATCGGATCTGTGCGGTTCAGACGTCATTAAAAGATCAGATACAGGAACATAGAGACAAAAAATTGGATTTGGGTCACTTCAGGCTGCAGTGTGAACGCAGCCTAAGTCATTTTTAACATTCAAAAGTTATAATCAACATACAAAAATGCATCCGAGTTCTTCAAAAAAAAAAAACACTTTTAAATATGTCAATATGTTTTAAGTGTGTGTGTTAGTTTCAGTGTAGTTTCAGTGTATTTAGCTCCTCCCTGCAGACAGATATAAGGAAGTGTCACCAGCGTCTGACCAGAACTGAAGAAGCGACTTGGATGAACTGAGAAACGTCTTCAACCAAACTAACTTTCGTCCAGTCGACAAACTGAATTTTCTCCTCCACCTGGATTCTACCTGGACGACTGATGGACTCTTCACACTTTTAATAATAATAGAATTCTGTTGAACGTTCTGTTATGGAAAGCTTTACTCTACAGTCCCTGACAAAAGTCTTGTCGCTTTTCCATTTTGTAGAAACAAAAGCTTATAACTTGACTTTAAATTAATCGATTGATTTTAGAAACGTCTCATATGAAGCTAAAACCCTCCCAAATTATGCTCAATAAACTAAAATAGGGGTCAAATTTTGCAGCAGGATGGTGCTCCATCACATACTTCTATCTCTACATCAAAGTTTGTCAAGGTGAAGAAGATCAAGGTGCTCCAGGACTGGACCAGCCCAGTCACCAGACATGAACATCACTGAGCAGGTCTGGGGTAGAATGAAAGAGGAAACATGGAGACAAAACCAAAGAATCTTGATGAACTCTGGGAGGCTGTAAGACGCTTTCTTTGTTATTCCTGATGACTTCATCAACAAATTGTATGAATCATTGTTGAACCGCATGGATGCGTCCTTCAAGCTCATGGAGTCATACAAGATATTAAATATGGATCTCACAGCACCACTACTTCATTCACTGACGTTATGCAACATATTTTTGTATTTGAAGTAAATTATTTGTTCAATTTTCTGTAGGCGACAAAACTTTTGTCTTGCCAAAATCTGACCTTTCTGTGTTCATTAAATGATCAATCTTTCTTCAGTGAAGCAAATTTATTTTAGTTTATTGAGCATAATTTGGGAGGGTTTTAGCTTCATATGAGACATTTCTAAAACCAATCGATTAATTTAAAGTCAAGTTATAAGCTTTTGTTTCTACAAAATGGATAAACAACAAGACTTTTGTCAGGGACTGTATTTACCTTTAGTCCTGAGACCTTTTACAGGGTTTCCCATCGGGTTACGTGTCAGATCTGTGGAGAGGCGAGCTCACTCACGGGTTTTCAGGTCAACAAAAACCCACGTTATTGAGTAGACGCGAGATGGACGGGCTTTAATGTCACACCGGAACATTCCAGACCAAACAATAACATCTCAGTGGAGACGAGACTTAATTTAGACTGTAAAAACTTTGGTAATGGCTAACTTCAAACAAAAAAAAAACAATCCGTCTTATCGTGGGCTGTTGACCCTCTAGTTTTGATCGTAACAGACGTATTTTCTGTCGTTCTGTGTGATGATTCTGTTTTGTCTGTTTGCTCGTTCTCTGTTTTGGTGAAACTGAAGTCTGTGATCTGGGCCGGAGCAGGAAACCACACGCGCAAACACCGAGACGCTTCGACTCCGAGACACGAAGTCTGTGATACGAAAGAACAGAGCAGAGACGACATCCTGGACAGTCCTGGTTTAGATCTGGTTATGTCCCTGTTTGGCTTTGTTTAGTCTGGTCCTGGTTCAGTCCTAGTTCAGTCCTGATTCAGAGCTGGTTTTGTTGTTGTTTTGCTTTGTTCAGTCCTGGTTCAGAGACAGTTCAGACCTGGTTTAGTCCTGGTTCAGTCCTGGTTTAGTCCTGGTTCAGTCCTGGTTTAGTCCTGGTTTAGTCCTGGTTCAGTCCTGGTTTAGTCCTGGTTCAGTCCTGGTTTAGTCCTGGTTCAGTCCTGGTTCCAGTCCTGGTTCAGTCCTGGTTCAGTCCTGGTCCAGTTCTAGTTCATTCTTGGTTTAGTCCTGGTTCAGTCCTGGTTTAGTCCTGGTTCAGTCCTGGTTCAGTCCTGGTTCAGTCCTGGTTCAGTCCTGGTCCAGTTCTAGTTCAGTTCTAGTTCATTCTTGGTTTAGTCCTGGTTTAGTCCTGGTTTTGTCCTGGTTTAGTCCTGGTTTAGTCTTGATTCAGTCTACTTCTGGTTTAGTCCTCGTTCAGTTCTGGTTTGGTCTTGGCTTAGTCCTGGTTTAGCTCTAGTTTAGTCTTGGTTCATTTCTTGTTCAGACCTAATTCAGTCCTGACTTAGTCCTGGTCCAGTTCTAGTTCATTCTTGGTTTAGTCCTACTTTAGTCCTGGATCAGTCCTGGTTTAGTCCTGGTTTAGTCTTGGTTCAGTCTAATCCTGCTTTAGTCCTGGTTTAGTCCTGGTTCAGTCCTGGTTTAGTCTTGGTTCAATCTAGTCCTAGTTTAGTCCTAGTTTAGTCCCGCTTTAGTCTTGCTTCAGTCTAGTCCTGGTTTAGTCCTAGTTTGGTCTTGGTTCAGTCTAGTCCTGGTTTAGTCCTAGTTTGGTCTTGGTTCAGTCTAGTCCTAGTTTAGTCCTACTTTAGTCTTGTTTAGTCTTGTTCAGTCTAGTCCTGGTTCAGTCCTGTTTTAATCTTGGTTTACTTTCTGCTCAGTCCTGGTTCAGTTCCTGGTTCAGTTCTGGTTTATTTGAGGCAGGTTACAGGTCAGATCTGCGGAGAGGCGACCCCCAACCGCTATAAAAATGTCAGTTTTTTAAAGCAGCG